ACTTTATTGGTTGTATCACATCTTGAAAGGAAGACGAAACAACTTTGTAAACCTCTATAACTCTAAATTATTGGGTTTGAGCCTATAGAGGCTTGTTTGTAAAAGAATAATTGGTGTTTGAATCCTGGAGAAGCTTTTGTAAAAAAAATACTCGGGTAGTTGCTTGAAGAGACAAATTAAAGAGAAAGTTGAGTCAGAAGTGACTTGGTGAAGAATACTTGTATCTCGGATAAGATAGTAAAACTTGATTTAGTTGGATCAAAAACTGGATATGTAGTCTCGGTGATTGAGATAAACTAATATAAAAACACTTTGTATTCATTTTGTTTACCTCCTCGTCTACACTCCTCACTATAACTTTATTACTTTTATGTATTACAAAAAGTGAGTTTTTAAGTGACACTCTTGAAATCACTTTCTGATGTCTCTCTTTTTCTCCACAACATGCAAATTAGTATGATTTTCACTATCTCCCTAAAGAAAACTACAACACTTTCGATCAAGCTCATCACAAAGTTGTCTAAGAAGGAATGCAATTTGCATTGCATAGGAAGGCATAGTGTTGGATTTCTTTTACAAGTTCACTAAGTCTACTATGGTAAAAATTGAAGTATGAGTGCTAATTTCACATAGACTTGGAAGATATTTTGTAATTTCTAATATCCTAATTAATACTTGTAAAAGAATGATTTACAACTGATTTTACACATTATTTTTCATTTCAACATTAAATAAGTACCTAAACAAGTAATAGAATACAAGTGTAAATTTGAAAAGATGATAGTGAGAGAAATTGTTGAGACTTAATTTCACCTATCTGACTCCCTAGCTCTTCTAAAATTATTTACATATGATCTCTGTCACTTAGTGTTATTGAAGTCTTGAGGTAATTCTAAATCAATTCCTTGTCTTTTGAAATTCTAAGGATTCTAATTTAATAACTGATTCTTCATTTTACCAAATCAGAGTCCTTGCATTAAGCTCATGAATATAATCAACTAATAACTCTAAGTTTATTTCTAGCCTTTAGAATCATTAGGTGATTTGGTTTAAATTAGATTTAGAAAATATTTTTCAATTAAAGTCTAAATCTCAAATCAAAATATGAGTGATCAATTCACCTTAAGCATTAAGAACATAATCAAAACACTAATATTGAATAATAGAGTATCATATATATAAATCAAAAGGATTACATAAGAGTTTGATAGATTACATTCAATCCCAACAAGAAAGAAGCTTAGCTACACATGATGATGAGAGTAGTCTCCATGTACAAAGAAAGCATAGAAAAAAAAGGAGATGAACTTAAGATCCCTATTAGTGAGCAATCAGATTAGCCAATTGGAAAGAAAGTAGATTTTTGAATTTGGGTTTTTCTGGAACGGGTCGTTCCCAAAGTGAAACGGGTCGTTCCAGAGTAAGAAAAATGTTTAAAAAGCTAAGTTGGAAATGGGTCGTTCTCCTTGTGGTCAATCTGTGTAAAAGTGAACTCCAGAACGGGCCGTTCTAATTTTAGAACGGGCCGTTCTAATTTTAGAACGGGCCGTTCTGCTTTTTGGAAACGGGCCGTTCTGATTTTAGAATGGGCCGTTCCAGTTGCAATTTTTGTATATGATCGAAGGCTCCGGAATGAGCCGTTCCAGATTCAGTACGGGCCGTTCCGGGAACCCCTGGATGCCTATAAATAGGAGGGAGGGGGTGAAAAAAATTATACTGACTGAGAAGGTGAAAATTTTAGAGAGAGAAAGGGAGAGAGAGAGAGGGAGAGAGAGAGAGAAAGAAAGAAAGAAAGAAAGAGAAAGAAAGGGAAAGAAAGAGGGAATCCAGAGGAGGAGGTCCTGCCCAAGTTCTAGCTCCTGCTTATCCAGGTAAGGGGGGAGTGAGGAACCTCGCTCGTGGGTGTGGGGATAATTGTTGGATAGTTTGATTGTCGGATTGGCCCCCAATCCCTTGCCTGTTGTTTTGTTTTACTTTCTGTTTGCTTTACTTTGTTCCTTGTTGGAAATAATAAATGAATACGTAATTAATGTTAAAAATAAATAAGTTTTAATATAAATAAGAATGTTCTCTGTGAATTCCTGTGCAGACTTTATGAGAAGTATTTATGACTTGACCATGTGAAATATATACCAATGACATGAGACATAAAAATGGACTATTGAGACAAGCTATGATTATAAGAACATGAAAAATGATGACATGATGTACTAAATGAAATTCTGTAATAAGTTAAATGTCGAGTCAATGAAATTATGAATGTATGACATGCATCATATGCATATATTACTCCAGGTGTGCTGCTGAGGCCGCATACCAGTTATGCTAACAAGGTGTATCTTAGGGTCACCCACGACTAACAAGGTGTACCTTAGGGTCACCTACGACTAACAAGGTGCACCTTAGGGTCACCCACGACTGACAAGGTGTACCTTAGGGTCACCCACGATGTAACATGCTAACAAGGTGTACCTTAGGGTCACCAGTGATGTAACCAGGTGTGTCTTAGGGTCACCAGTGATGATATGTGAAACTTTCGTATGGCGCCACATGCATGCATATATGAGTCGAGTCCTTGACATCATTGCATGATAAATAAGTGTATATTTGATATTGATTATGTATGTGTATTGTTTACATGTGACTTATATTTGTTGTGTGTGTGTGTGCTATCCAACCTTAATTTCTTCACCTGAAACTAAGTGAGATGTTTCTCACTCCCTTGTTGTTCTTGTATATGTTTAAATTATGTTGCAGGTGATCATCATCATGAGGAATGTTGGTGATGAGACTTAAGGCTTCAATTGAGCATGTTCTGATAGGATGTGACATCGGGACATAGCTAGCCTAGTCTAATATGTTATTGTTTTAATAACTTTAATTTCTTTTCTTTTGTAATTTCTAGCGAAGAAATAACGTAAATAAAGTTTATAATCTTTCTTTTGTAATTTTAAACGTTATTGATAAAAGACCAAAATGTGTATCTTTGTCATATTATTTTTATTATATGATTTGAAAGTTATAATTTAATTCCTAACTAGGAGGCACTGCCACCTTTGCTGGAATTAATCTTTATTTTCCTTTATATGATTTCTTGAGTTTTGATACTTATATGTTGACTTCTTATGATTTATGAGTTACGAATGTGAATCTTCTACCTTATGATATGAGACAATTATTTTATCCATGAAAGATGTTATCAAACTATGAAAGGTTTTATTTACTCAAAAAGGAAAAAAAAAATTATTGTTTACATTTATTGTGTATTAATGTTGGGGTAGAGGGTGTCACACTACACTTGTGTGGCTTGCTATTGAGCCAAAGTTTGAACCTGTAGCTCTTTTTGAGCTAGAGTTTGAAGTTGGGGCTCCTATTCAGCTAGAGATTGAAGTTGAGGCTCTTCTTGAGCCAGAGTCTATGATGGTGCCAACGACAAACTTATTGTAGCCTCAAGTTGTTGGGCCTCACGAGCAGTTAATTTAGCATCTGTTAAGGTCTATTGTTTGGCTTCCTCAATAAACTAGACTTTCAAACGTTTCACTACTTGCTCTTCTATTTCTTTGGAAACAGACCTCTTCAGGCTTAGCACCAAGTATTCTTTTAACTAAGCCTCTCTAGGCTCAAAACTAAGTATTCTTTTACATAAGCCTTCTTAGGCTCAACCCTTACAACAAGGTAATGAATGATTACAAAATTATTTCATCTCTTTTAAACATGATGTAATCAACAATGAAAGAACAAGTAATTTACAAAGAAATATGTTACTAGATTTTTAGTAGAATGTTTCTTTGTAGTTTTTTTAGCTCTATGTATATTTGTATGTTTCTCTATACAATTTTTTTTAATGTATATTGCTTTTGTTCTATATGTGTCGCACTTTTATAGTTGTTTGAAGGTTTGATCCTTTTATAATAGCTTCATAGAAAATGACTATTATTGCAACTTTGAGTTGAACTTGCAATTTGCTTCACGAGTTGCTTCGCTATCTTCTTTGTTGATCCTAGAGATTACCATTGATGCATTTAATGCAAGCATTAATTGTCTTTCAGCAAAGTGTGTATCTCTTATCTAATCTAGCAGACTACTTATCATCATTTCCTTCTAAAATGAGCATGACAGAAGCTATGACAAAATAGAGTAGTTGAAGTCAATGCAGAGCAATCTTTTCCAGAGCCTTTCTTGTGATATCTAGGATTTTGCTTTTTTCTTTTTGCTTCTAATGGATATTTTGTCTTTTTCTTCATTTGATCTTCTTTATCTTATAGATGATATACATTTTCCATATTTCATCTGATATGGTATACCTTTGTAGATACTTGACTTTGCTTAAAAAGAAAGTCTCTCATTTGTTATCATTAAAACTTGAGAGATCCAAGATTGTCTTTTGACTTAATAATTTATGACACATGCATGGTTTTACCCACTTGGTACCTAAAAAACATAAGTAACTTATTTGATCAAATAAAAAGGAAAAATCTGGTGAAAACATTTAATGCAAACATTTATTATACCAATAGACACTTCTCTCCTCAATAAGCAAAACATAAAGATAGACAAAGCAAGCCATGAGAGGGTAGCTCAAGGATTTACAACGATCATCTTCTTTGAAGCACCTATATAAGGAAATTAAATGATTCAAATATATCAAGATAGAAATATAGAGATATAGAGAAAAAGAACTCATATACAAAGAAATATTATTTCCTCATTCTTTCTATAAATTATTTTGTACTTTATTGGTTGTATCACATCTTGAAAGGAAGACGAAACAACTTTGTAAACCTCTATAACTCTAAATTATTGGGTTTGAGCCTATAGAGGCTTGTTTGTAAAAGAATAATTGGTGTTTGAATCCTGGAGAAGCTTTTGTAAAAAAAATACTCGGGTAGTTGCTTGAAGAGACAAATTAAAGAGAAAGTGGGTTTTTCTGGAACGGGTCGTTCCCAAAGTGAAACGGGTCGTTCCAGAGTAAGAAAAATGTTTAAAAAGCTAAGTTGGAAATGGGTCGTTCTCCTTGTGGTCAATCTGTGTAAAAGTGAACTCCAGAACGGGCCGTTCTAATTTTAGAACGGGCCGTTCTAATTTTAGAACGGGCCGTTCTGCTTTTTGGAAACGGGCCGTTCTGATTTTAGAATGGGCCGTTCCAGTTGCAATTTTTGTATATGATCGAAGGCTCCGGAATGAGCCGTTCCAGATTCAGTACGGGCCGTTCCGGGAACCCCTGGATGCCTATAAATAGGAGGGAGGGGGTGAAAAAAATTATACTGACTGAGAAGGTGAAAATTTTAGAGAGAGAAAGGGAGAGAGAGAGAGGGAGAGAGAGAGAGAAAGAAAGAAAGAAAGAAAGAGAAAGAAAGGGAAAGAAAGAGGGAATCCAGAGGAGGAGGTCCTGCCCAAGTTCTAGCTCCTGCTTATCCAGGTAAGGGGGGAGTGAGGAACCTCGCTCGTGGGTGTGGGGATAATTGTTGGATAGTTTGATTGTTAAAAACATCATGTAAATATCTTATGGAAAAAAACTCTTGCATAAAATAACCGTTGGTAATTAATATATTTAATTTTGTATTTATTATTTTCAACCAATTTATTAGAATTTGTGAATTTAGATTAGGAATGTCTTACTTTGATTGTTTAATTTATGAATTATTTTAATTCTAGTTTATAAAAAGGGGGCCGGGGGGAAGAACGAAGGAGCGGCGGCTACCGAAACTCGAAAAGCAAAAAAAGCAAACGATATCCCGATCCGCGCATGCCTTTGGAAACGATATCTAGCCGTTGAAATCCATCTATCAACGTTCACTAATTGTCCATCCATTAGTCCACGGATCGCAAACTTGAACCGTAGATTAACCTTAAAATCTAACGGCCAAGATCAAATTCGAAACACGGAGGGTGTTAAGAGAACATTCAGGGCATCACCAAACCTACGATTCGTAGGTTGGCGAGAAGAGGTGGTGTTAAGAGAATCAGTGGTTTGATCTACGAAGAGACCAGAGGAGTTCTCAAGATTTTCTTGGAGAACGTGATTCGCGATGCTGTCACCTACACCGAGCACGCTAGGAGGAAGACTGTTACTGCCATGGACGTTGGCGTCGGCATGACCAAAGCAGGTAATGCATGCGCCTTCTCCTTAGTTACTATTAATTAATCAATACTCTGTTTGTTAATTAATTAATTGTGTGTGCTTCAGATTTGGTGAACAATTTGGGAACCATTGCACGGTCTGGCACCAAGGAATTCATGGAGGCCTTGCAGGGTGGTGCTGACGTCAGCATGATCGGTCAATTCGGCATTGGTTTCTACTCCGCCTACCTCGTCGCCGAGAAAGTAATCGTCACCACCAAGCACAACGACGATGAACAATGTTGTTTATGCGCTCAAGAGACAGGGAAGGACCCTCTATGGATTCGGAGGCTGAACAATTTGTTCTTTTCAATGGCTTTGGTTCTGTAATGTAGGATGTTTCTCTAGTTTTACATTGGATAATAGTTGTATAACTTCGATTGGAATTATATCCTGTAATGTTTCTTCATTAAAGATTATAGCTCAACGTTAAACGTTTTGTCTTCTCCTGCTAATTTAACACTCCACAGTATCATTTTCTAACAGTTCATCGATATATTTAAGGATCTCTTGATTGTTTGAGTTATGTTTTTGGTGTAATCCACTACTAAACGTATTCAAAGGATCGATGTTCTTTATTGATTTCTGTTTTGTGTTGCCTTTGGTTATCTTTTTTGCACCAATATATGCTATATGTGGTAATCGATTACAAGAAATGGGTAATCGATTACAAGAGAACCTTTTAAAAAGTAAATTTCAAACATATGATTTTCATTGTCTGCTAGACTCTTAAAACAATAGTTTCCTCATTAAAGACACCCAGTTTGTGAGGGATTCAACCCAGTTAGTGACGGATTTTATCCGTTGCAAATTGTGACGGAATTATGGCGTCGCAAATTGTGACGGATTCTACTCAATAATAGGCATCACAGTTTGTGACGGATTTTCTTCGTCGCAAATTGTGACGGATTCGTTCATCACAATTTGTGAGGGACTCACATACCTCTCAATCCCTCTCAAATTGCGAGGGGTATAATCCCTCACAAATTGCGAGGGATTTAATCTCTCACAAATTGCGACGGATTTTTATTAATTTTTAAACATTTATTGTTAGAAATTAGTGACGGAAATTATACTGTTTGTGATGCCTTAATTCCGTCACTAATTGTGACGGAGCAAATAATCCGTCACTAAATATTTTGTGACGCCAAATTTTGTGACGGAATCATTTCCGTCACAAATTCCGTCACTAATTTATTTGTGACGGATTTTATGAAGATTAGTGACGGATTTGTTCCCTCTCTAATTTTAATTTTTCTAGTAGTGTCGGTCGTGAAGGACGATCTGTTGGGCAAGATTGGTGAGCCTCCTTCGCTCGGTACGTCGGCTGTTCCGAAGTGGGGGTGATACCTGCAAAAGAGACTTTGATGCTAAAGTTAGTCTTTGTAGGTATATGGTTCTCGTATATGTAGTGCACGTACCTTAGTGTGAGTTAGGATTTATCTAGGCCCTGGGCCCGAGGTTGATTGTGATCCGTTCAGATAGTGGGCCTTTGTTATGGTCGATGTCTTGTAGTGCTTTAGTGCCGAGCTTGAGCTCGGCTTCGTGATACAGATAGTACACTATCCCCCCGAGCTCTGAAGACTGCGGGTCGAGGAGTTAATGTCGAGTTCAGTGAAGGGTCGCGACTCTTCGTTTATGCCTCTTAGGCAGAGTGCCATGTATCATAAAGTGTTGCCTCGTTTCTCGAAATGCATGGGCGGCGCGTAATGGGGGTGACGGTTTATAATGATGGGGTGCTCCCGTCATTATGACCCTCATTTAATGCCTGCCCGTTTTGTCTTTTTTGCTTTTCGTTTAAAACACTTTGCCTCTTTCCTCCTCGCGCACTTTGCATTCTCACCTATTTGGCTTCCCTTGTACGTTTTCGTCTCCTCTACACCTTTCTCTTCTTCACCTACCTTCTCTGTCTCCGTTTTCCTTCGTTGTCACCATTTCCGGTAATCAGGTCATCGTTCTTCGCCACTGTCTTGTTGTTGTTGAAGAAGTACTAGGTACTTCTCTTCTTTTGCCTTTTCTTTCACTCTTCCCCTTTTCGAGTTTTATCCATTTCAATGGCTGGGGAGGGGAAGAGGGTCGCGCCTTCTTCTTCTGCC